AAAAAAAATTGTATCAGTGTAATGTTTGCCATAACTACTTTCTATATATCAACATTTAAAAAAAAAGTGAAAACACGCTATTGCCATGAGAACCGAACTTCGCATATGGAAACTAAATGGAACTTTACTAATATCAAATGGAAAATGTTGTTTCCATTCAAAATTGCACATAGTTTGTTTCTACTTCATCAAAGATAAACAGCACCCAAAAAATATATTGTCGTGAGAAGTCTAATTGAAACTAATAAAATATAAAAAAATAGAGAAGAATTGCATATAAAACCCATAACTAAACGAATAATAGTGCAGACCATTAGACATAGGAGTTGAGAAGTTCGGATTCAAAATAAATGTGTCGCGCATTTCATAGTCAAGTATCGAAACAAGAATTTTCCTTTATTCTAACAGGGCAGGTGAAGACATTATCTGTACTTTCAACTCCAAAGACATAAATATTCCTGTGAGATTCCTGCTGCATCAAATGAATTGTATAGATCTATAGTACGTCTATATTCCGATGATAATACGATACGGTTCATTGCATTAACCTTTCAGATACCTGAAAATCGGTTATATGTAATTTATGAACAGAAAGCGATGCGTGCATTACGATGTCTTGCAGTAATTAATGATGCTTTCCATCAACCGCCGAAAATAATCGAAACTACTATCGCGTTCTGCAACAGGTTTAATTGCCAGCTTCAACACTTCCTTTAATTCAAATTCACATTTTTCTCGCTTTGGTTTTGTATGGATTACAATCGGCACTTCGGCAATATAGAATGTTTGAGCATTTTAGCCGACAATCGAAACCTATTCGTCATATAAACAATGTAACATTATGTCAACGCTTTATTTATGTATTATTATAACCTTTAGCGATGACAAGTAGACATTTAATTAGAATTGCTCAACAAATAGTTTGAAGGTGTTATAATTGCGGCAAATGCCAAATTAGGATATTGCGGTGATTTATTGTATTTTCCAAATTGCAGAAATGTAATGGGATAAATCAAATGAAGTACTCTTAACAGGCATGATAAATTTGAGGTTTAATTGGGATACCAAGAAACACGCGATTTTAACTGCACTGTTTTATTGTTCACTTTTGTGTTGATCTTTTATTTGATGATAGACAATAGTTATTGCTTGGCGCGACTTTAACTTCAGCTTCACAGCAACTGATGTGGTTGGCAGAAAGTTTATATTTCTCTTGTTTAGAGTATGAAAATTCGATGTCGCCTGCAAGAAAAATATTTTCTAACCACACAGGCCCGTAACTCACCCAAAAAGTAAAAAAAAAGTTAGAAATATGAAAACTGGAACGTTAAATAAATATTTTTGGCTTACTCTTCTAATCATTTGTACTGCAAAGGAAGCCAATGCAATATTTTTGTGTAAACACTAGCCTGGAAACCAACATCGCAATGCGGGAAAGTTTAATTGTTTCTCCAACTTTAATGTAATTTATGGACTGTTTTAGTAGGGATTTGTTTCAAATATATTTATGCAAAATTGTAATAGAAATTCTAAATAAAGAGTTGATCAAAAGTTGACATCTTTCTTGATGATGATTTGTCAAGAAACGAAAACGCCAGACCACACATTTGTGATGCAAACATGGCATTCTCCTATAATAGTTGAAGACTGTAACTTTTCAGCTCTGGAGTCAGTTTTTTTGAAGAAAACATTAACTAAAAATAGAAAATATACACAAAAGTATGGCACAATATTTTCCTAAAAAACTAGAAAATAAGCGGTCTTTTTTTTAATTAATATATGGTGAAAACGCTGACGTCTTCGACTAGGTATATTTTCGAAATCTGCTGAATTCAGGTGGCTTATAATTATCGAATACATAATGAAGGTGTAAAAAAATCGAAGTAACATCATCACGAATATTATGGAAAAAATATGTAGCAAAAACATGTTTTAAAGTAAACCACTTAAGGTTTGGAGGCCAGCATAGGTCACGGAATGTTCGATCGGTTACCTTAAAAGGCAGATGAAGATGACTTGGGTTCCAGCAAAAATAATTAGTGCAACATAATACATAAAAGCGCCCCAGGCAAATATGATTGCAAATAAGTGGTTTGGAGCTGGATGAATAGATGAATCTTCAGTTTTTAGTGGGGGCGGGCATTTTAGCGTTATATAAGACAATACTTGGGGAAGATGCATCACACTCGTGTAAGTGCAACTTAAGTGCACTATAGCCAAAATGAAGCAAGTAAGAAACTGTCTTTTTATTTATTTTTTAATTTGCTTTTGAAAATTTCACGTGCGGTGTTAGTAGTGTGGCTGGTCAGTTCCAGCAAAATTCCATCAAAGTTTAGTGCGCAAGTGAATGTCAAGTTCAGGCCTGCAGTGCAATTTTGCGGGAATGTTTCGGCAAAAAGTCCGATTTCATACTGTTTGCCCATTAATTGGCGATATTTAGCACCTTTTAACGCATTTTGAAACTAAGCAATTAACGAATATGCAGGGGTCAATTGATATCTTCGCTAGGATTTTCTAATGTTGCTGCAAGACACAGTCAGCATGTGTAAATTCGTTAAGTGCAGTTTGTCTCCTTTCATTTGCAACCCATATTACTTACTTGACAACCCAATAAGCAAATAATTACTGTTATTTAATATTTATTTAATTGCCATGTTGGGCGCTGTGCTTGTTACCAGTTGCCAGTGAAATTAGCGAGTTTTGTGTGCTAACAAAACGTGCCGATTTCCACACAAAACTAAAAATCTTTTGATAATCCAAAACTTGTCTGCAGAAAGAGTAGAAGTTCAGCTAAATTAGAAATCGTGTCGTGCTAGTCTTTCGCCTACAAACATTTGCAAAACTTTCAGGTAATTCTTCCACTGGCCCTCTTTGGCGTCTGCATGTGCGCTCGCCTGGACAACACTCAGTATCTTCCCCCTTCTCAGCGCCCTGCAGGTGGAATTAGACCAGGAGCGGGTGGATTCGGTGCAGGAGGTGCTGGCGGTGCTCCAGCCTTTGGAGGTGCCGCAAGGCCATCTGGAGGTTTTGCAGGTCCTTCGGCAGGCGCCCCTGCCTTCGGTGGGGCCCCGGCTGGAGGAGCTGGAGGTTACAGTGGAGGAGGAGCTGGCGGAGCTGGTGGCGCTGGTGCATACAGTGGAGGTATTCTCGTCGCCAACTCCCAAATGTACATTTCATTTAACTGGCCTGCAGGTGGAGGCCGGGCCGGAGCTGGCTCAGAAATCCCCATCATCCGTTACGAGAACGTGAACAATGGAGATGGAACTTATCAATATCTGTATGAGACTGGCAATGGAATCAACGCTCAAGAGCAAGGAGATGGTCGAGGAGATGGCACTCAAGCTCAAGGTACAAAGCGGCCTTTCTGAGCTCAATTACAGCTCGAACTGTGCTTGCCTTTCCAGGATCATTCTCCTACACTGCTCCCGATGGCCAGCAGATCCAGATCCAATACACTGCAGATGCAAACGGCTTCAACCCTCAAGGCGCCCATATTCCTACTCCACCACCAATTCCTCCAGAGATTCAGAGGTCTATTGAGCAGAACTTGGCTGATGAAGCCAGAGGTTAGTTATCTGTCTCGTGTCCTACTGTTTAAAGGGGAATTTTACTTGAAATAATACGGATGTTACATAGGTATAGTCGACGATGGAGCTTACAAGCCAGGTCCAGATGAAGGAGGAGCAGGAGGATACAGCGGCGGAGGCTACAGTGGAGGCGCTGGCGGAAGCTTCCCAGGAGCTGGTGGAGTAGGTGGAGGTTTTGGTGCAGGTGATAATATCAAAAACCTGCTAATTAAGGTGCCTTATAACACGATCATGTTGCAGGCAAAACTGCTTCTTTCGGAGGCGGACAAGCTCCGGCAGGAGCATTCAGACCATCGGGCGGTGCTGGAGGTTTCAGACCACAAGGAGGAGTTGGAGGGTTGGGATCCGGGCAAGCTGCTGGCGGTGCCGGATACAGATATTAAATTTCGTAGAAGCGACTTTTAAACAAAATTTACCAGCGAACATTCAATGCATTGTAAATGCATCTTCTGTATTCTCTTCACATTTCAACTCGCTGATGAATTTTGTCGCAAAAAGCGCCCATTGACCAGTATTATGTTGTTTTCATTTTAATTCACTGTACACCAATGTGTTACGATGTTGCATGCCATAATTGTAGGAAAAATGTTGAGCAAATTTGAAAAGTTAATCTATATATGTATGCTTTGTATATAATAATTGTAGGTGAAAATAAATTGTGCATAGTTTCTGATAAACATTGCGTATTAATTAAAGTCAGAACAACGTGTTTTTGTGATCAATTTACTCGCATACGGAGGGATTTAGCAAATTGAATGAGGCGAAAACTTGAGACCCGATAAGAACAATCTCACCGTCTACTGTTTAAGAACTGCAAGTTCAATTTCAACCAACTAAATCTTATTTCAAGAGCGTTTTAAGGTAATTTTTGTTAGACGCTTTTTTGCAGCAGGATGTGAAAATTGTAATCCCATTTATTTTGCTTTCCCTGTTTACAACCCGTTCCGAAATTGGAGACAATTCTAGACGTACTCAACTTCAAAATGATGCGAGAGAATTAAATGTTGTTAAGGCTTTTAATACAGACTGTCTGAAATGACTGATCCAAGGGAAAATTTTATTTCCATTAGTGATATTCAGACGAACAAAAAGATGCAGAAGCAATTTTAAACGAATGAAAATATACCTTTTCGCTGAGAATCTACAATAGCAAATGAAATTCATTCCTGGGTTTCAGTCATTTATTGTCTCTATTTATCAATCAAAATACGTTTCGGTGTATTCTTCCAACATCATCAGTTTTTATGTGTAGCGTTGTTGCTGCTTTAAGCCTTGGCATGCATTTTTTGCAGATAAAAATGAAAAAAATGAAACACAGTCAGGAAAGTATATACAATCTACAATAGCTCAACCATCTTAGACTTGTGAAACTAGCGGACATCCGGAAGTAATTATCGATTTATTTCGTAAAAAAACGGTAAAACGTAAATTATCTTGGCTTCAGTAGCATTGAGGGTTTAGTGGCAGTCCATGAGATTAGGTGAACGTACCATTGTCTCAAGCTTATGCGCATTTTACTCAAAAGTACCTATACATGACCCATGTGAATGAACTTAACACAAACTTGTAATCTTACAGTACAAGTTAATGCTTATAGAGCAATTGAAACTAATTTCACACAGTAAAACCAAGAACTGTTTCTGTTGAACAAACAATCTAAAAATCCCAATGAAATCTACTCTCAAACCAAGGTTCCAAATATGCGCGGTGGATAGAATTATTAACTTTATTCCAGCTGAATTATCCTTGAATGTTGGCCCAAGTTTTGTCAAAAGAAATTTTTGGTTTTTGGCAAATTGTTCCGTATTCATATTCCGTAAAATTTTGCTAGCAATATCAAATAACAGTAAGTTTCATGGCACCAACTTGTAAAACATTCCCCAAATACCCGCAGAATTTTCAACAGGAAAACATGTATTACTTTCAAGGACTTACTAAAATCGAAATAACCGCAAACAGAAACAAATAATATTGTTATCTTGGTTTCGCCGTTCATACTCCAATGCGTGAGCTCTTACTTTGCATAAAAAAATGATCTTCTGCATAGACAGAACAATGGTACCATCGAAATGAGAAGATCAAGATCATTTGCAGTGACCGTGATCATTTTGGTGGATCCTTTACGATCTATCTGACATTTTTGGGAATCATCATCGGCAGGTGGGGTGCAATAAGTATAAAACTGCTGTTGGGAAAATACGAATTCACAACATCCTCCTGATCTCCACTTGAATACTTGGTGCTATAGTTCTAAAGGCTTCAAGATGAGGGTGAGTGATTGAGTTTAAAACTCGCCAAAATATTAGTTTGGAAACTGACCAAATTTTGCCCCTTTGTAGGTTTCCATTTTAGCATTCATCTTAGGATTCATCGCCTACGCATATGCAGGAAGTCTATACCTTCCTCCCTTCCGAAGCTCTTCGTCGGGAGGATCAATTGGGGGACCACAACCAAACGGAGGCTTTGGCGCCCAAACATACTCCTCCAATAGTGCCAAGCAAATCCCTATTCTCACTTACAACGCTGACAACAGCGGCGAAGGCTCTTACAGGTAGCTCAAGATAACATATAAAAACTCAATAAATCAGCAACAAATTCCAACAGATACAACTACGAAACTGGCAACAGCATCACCGCAGAAGAACAAGGAGAAGCCAGAGGCGATGGCACTAAAGCTCATGGATCCTACTCGTATATTTCTCCTGAAGGCGAACACATCTCCATTACTTACACAGCTGATGAGAATGGATTTGTTGCGCAAGGATCCCACATTCCAACTCCGCCCCCAATTCCAGAAGCCATCTTGAAATCTCTGCAGGAAAATGCTGCAGCTGAAGCTAGAGGAGTTGTTGACGATGGCCAATACCGCGGAGAAGGATTAAGCGAAGGACAATACAGAGGAGAAGGCCAAGGATCTTCATTCAGGAGGCCCAATGGAGGATCTGGAGGAACTGGGGGATCGGGAGGTTATGCCGCAAACGGCGGCTATAGATATTGATCGGTTTTTTAACGGAGTGTGTCTATTTAATCTTCAGCAAATGCTAAAATACAAGTGATCAAGTTGAATTCGTTGGCTGTTGTTTTTTGCTTTAACTAAGGCGCAAGGGAGTATTAAAGGTCTAGAAACCTCCATCATCCAATGCGAGTTGTCTAACCCGACACGTTGTGGATGTGGTTTTATTGAATATTCCGGCTTCTGGAAACTTCCAGGCTTCGTTAGAAAAATGCCTGCATTTCTTCGTAAGAATCCTTAAAGCCAATATGCTCCTGCTGCTTCTAGTGTTCTTTCCCCATTTCCCATCGAAGCGCTGCGGGAGATTTTAAAGGGTCTTAAGACACATCAATCAGCGGTTATTTAGATTTCAGTTTATTAAATATTTTTCTGCTGCAGAAACATTTACAAGCAATGATTTTTCTTAAATATTTTTGATTGATCGTTGATTAAACTTTTCAGTTGCATCTTTTAATGTGATACACTGCTTCAATCCTGTAAATAGTACATAGTTAGTCATATATATTTTTCATATGTTTGTCAGCTTCCAAATCGAAATCTATATCCAACTATGAACAATTGCATCATTTTAGAAATCATTAAAAGAACAGTCAGTCGTAAAATAGCACAACAATAAATAAGAACATCTTTTGACATGTAGTCCTACATAATATATATTTGTTGCGAGTAGTGGGTCATTTTTTGAAGCGCTTCGTGACACGAATACACTTCCCACTAATAATTACCAAACAAAAATCTACACATAAAGGTAAGGTTTCACAACCAAACCAAGAAACAATTTAATAAAGATTGCGTTTAATTGCCTCGAGTTCAGTTGGTAACGTTTTTGTTGAAGATTGTCTATTGATCAAGTGCAGAGCTCGTTTAGAATTTCGGATGGTTGGAAACGTTTGTGCTTAAGTGCCTAAGCGAATGGCGTTGCTGAATGAATGGAAGAACAAAATTCGATTTGTCCTACTTAAACTTAAAGTAAAAAACACTTGCAATAATAGTTGACTTGACTCGAAAGTCAAAATCCACCTGGATAAGTGTTCCTCATAAACGCAAAGAGAAACTAAAGTTCAGAAAGTGTTGCTCAAACCATACAATATTTTACTTCAACTGTTCAGCAGTTTCAAGAACTTCGCAGACAAAATTTTAGTAAAATCTGAGGACCTTTCGATTTTTTAGAGGCGCCCGAGTATGAACTGGCAAAATAAGCGCTAAAGAAACTTGCAGACTCACGTTTAAAAAATTTCCCACTTCGGTCTAAGAGCAGCAGATTTTTTTTATTTCTAGTACGGACTACAGGAAGCATTCAGCTCTATGCATCAGAAGTTTGAGTGAAATCTGAGGACTTGCTGATTTTTTAGAGCCGCCCGAGTATGAACTGGCAAAATATGCGCTGAAGACACTTGCACCACTCACGTTTAAAAAATTTCCCACTTCTGTCTGAGTGCAGCAGATTTTTTTTATTTCTAGTACGGACTACAGGAAGCATTCAGCTCTATGCATCAGAAGTTTGAGTAAAATCTGAGGACTTGCTGATTTTTTAGAGCCGGCAGAGTATGAACTGGCAAAACAAGCGCTGAAGACACTTGCACACTCACGTTTAAAAAATAGCCCACTTCTGTCTGAGTGCAGCAGATTTTTTTTATTTCTAGTACGGACTACAGGAAGCATTCAGCTCTATGCATCAGAAGCTTGAGTAAAATCTGAGGACTTGCTGATTTTTTAGAGCCGGCCGAGTATGAATTGGCAAAATAAGCGCTGAAGACACTTGCACACTCACATTTAAAAAATTGCCCATTTCTGTCTAAGTGCACCAGATTTTTTTAATTTTTAGTACGGACTGCAGAAAGCATTGAGCTCTATGCAGCAGAAGTTTGAGTAAAATCTGAGGACTTTCTGATTTTTTAGATCCGCCCGAGTATGAACTGGCAAAATAAGCGCTGAAGACACTTGCACACTCACGTTTAAAAAATAGCCCACTTCTGTCTGAGTGCAGCAGATTTTTTTTATCTCTAGTACGGACTACAGGAAGCATTCAGCTCTATGCATCAGAAGCTTGAGTAACATCTGAGGACTTGCTGATTTTTTAGAGCCGGCCGAGTATGAATTGGCAAAATAAGCGCTGAAGACACTTGCACACTCACATTTAAAAAATTGCCCATTTCTGTCTAAGTGCAGCAGATTTTTTTGATTTTTAGTACGGACTGCAGAAAGCATTCAGCTCTATGCAGCGGAAGATTGAGTAAGATCTGAGGACTTTCTGATTTTTTAGAGCCGCCCGAGTATGAACTGGCAAAATAAGCGCTGAAGACACTTACACACTCACGTTTAAAAAATAGCCCACTTCTGTCTGAGTGCAGCAGATTTTTTTAATTTCTAGTACGGACTACAGGAAGCATTCAGCTCTATGCAGCAGAATTTTGAGTAAAATCTGAGGACTTTCTGATTTTTTAGAGCCGCCCGAGTATGAACTGGCAAAATAAGCGCTGAAGACACTTGCAACACTCACCTTTAAAAAATTGCCCAGCTCTGTGTAACTGCAGCAGATTTTTTTAATTTTTGGTACGGACTACAGGAAGCATTCAGCTCTTCAGCTCTATGCAGCAGAGGTTTGAGTAAAATCGGAAGACTTTCTGATTTTTTAGAGCCGCCCGAGTATGAACTGGCAAAATAAGCGCTGAAGACACTTGCAACACTCACGTTTAAAAAATTGCCCAGCTCTGTCTAACTGCAGTAGATTTTTTTGATTTTTAGTACGGACTACAGGAAGCATTCAGCTCTACACAGCAGAAGTTTGAGTAAAATGTGAGGACCTTCTGATTTTTTAGAGCCGCCCGAGTATGAACTGGCAAAATAAGCGCTGAAGACACTTGCACACTCGCGTTTAAAAAATTGCCCATTTCTGTCTAAGTGCAGCAGATTTTTTTGATTTTTAGTACGGACTGCAGAAAGCATTCAGCTCTATGCAGCGGAAGCTTGAGTCAGATCTGAGGAATTTCTGATTTTTTAGAGCTGCCCGAGTATGAACTGGCAAAATACGCGCTGAAGAAACTTGCAGACTCACGTTTAAAAAATAGCCCACTTCTGTCTGAGTGCAGCAGATTTTTTTATTTCTAGTACGGACTACAGGAAGCATTCAGCTMTATGCATCAGAAGTTTGAGTAAAATCTGAGGACTTGCTGATTTTTTAGAGCCGGCCGAGTATGAACTGGCAAAATAAGCGCTGAAGACACTTGCACACTCACGTTTCAAAAATTGCCCATTTCTGTCTAAGTGCAGCAGATTTTTTTGATTTTTAGTGCGGACTGCAGAAAGCATTCAGCTCTATGCAGCGGAAGATTGAGTAAGATCTGAGGACTTTCTGATTTTTTAGAGCCGCCCGAGTATGAACTGGGAAAATAAGCGCTGAAGACACTTACACACTCACGTTTAAAAAATAGCCCACTTCTGTCTGAGTGCAGCAGATTTTTTTAATTTCTAGTACGGACTGCAGGAAGCATTTAGCTCTATGCATCAGAAGTTTGAGTAAAATCTGAGGACTTGCTGCTTCTTTAGAGCCGGCCGAGTATGAACTGGCAAAATAAGCGCTGAAGACACTTGCACACTCACGTTTAAAAATTTGCCAACTTCTGTCTAACTGCAGCAGATTTTTTTTATTTTTAGGACGGACTACAGGAAGCATTCAGCTCTATGCAGCAGAAGTTTGAGTAAAATCTGAGGACTTTCTGATTTTTTAGAGCCGCCCGAGTATGAACTAGCAAAATAAGCGCTGAAGACACTTGCACACTCGCGTTTAAAAAATTGCCCATTTCTGTCTAAGTGCACCAGATTTTTTTGATTTTTAGTACGGACTGCAGAAAGCATTGAGCTCTATGCAGCGGAAGATTTACTAAGATCTGAGGACTTTCTGATTTTTTAGAGCCGCCCGAGTATGAACTGAAAAAATAAGCTCTAAAGATACTTGCACACTCACGTTTAAAAAATTGCCAACTTCTGTCTAACTGCAGCACATTTTTTTTTATTTCTAGCACGGACTACAGGAAGCATTCAGCTCTATGCATCAGAAGTTTGAGTAACATCTGAGGACTTGCTGATTTTTTAGAGCCGGCCGAGTATGAACTGGCAAAATAAGCGCTCAAGACACTTGCAACACTCACGTTTAAAAAATTGCCCAGGTCTGTCTAACTGCAGCAGATTTTTTTGATTTTGAGTACGGACTACAGGAAGCATTCAGCTCTATGCAGCGGAGGTTTCAGTAAAATCGGAAGACTTTCTGATTTTTTAGGGCCGCCCGAGTATGAACTGGCAAAATAAGCGCTGAAGACACTTGCAACACTCACGTTTAAAAAATTGCCCAGCTCTGTCTAACTGCAGCAGATTTTTTTGATTTTTAGTACGGACTACAGGAAGCATTCAGCTCTACACGGCAGAAGTTTGAGTAAAATGTGAGGACCTCCTGATTTTTTAGAGCCGCCCGAGTATGAACTAGCAAAATAAGCGCTAAAGACACTTGCACACTCGCGTTTAAAAAATTGCCCACTCCTGTCTAACTGCAGCAGATTTTTTTCATTTTTAGTACGTACTGCAGGAAGCATTCAGCTCTATGCATCAGAGGTTTGAGTAAAATCGGAAGACTTTCTGATTTTTTAGAGCCTCCCGAGTAGGAACTGGCAAAATAAGCGCTGAAGACACTTGCAACACTCAGAAGATGTTCAGCAAGAAAAACACTATACATTTTTATAAGGCTTTTATTTTGCCATTGCCATCGATTTTTCTAATTCGTTCAATAAATATTAAATACACCAGCCCTTTACTACACTTAATTAATATCTGTAGCCTCCATTGGCCGCGTAGGGTCCAGAACTGGCTCCATTTGATCCAAAACTCCCAGAGCTGCCGGTATTCCTGCCAAATCCACCGACACTAGCAGCGTTTGAGCCGAAGCTTCCAGAGCCAGCAGTGTTTCTTGCAAATCCATCAGAGCCTTGACCTTCACCCTGGTACTGCCCTTCGTTCAAACCTTCGCCATGGTACTGGCCGTCGTCGAAGACGCCTCTAGCTTCAGCTGCAGCATTTTCCTGCAGAGATTTCAAGATTGCCTCTGGAATTGGCGGTGGAGTGGGAATGTGAGATCCTTGAGGAACAAAGCCATTTTCATCAGCAGTGTAAGTTACGGAAATATGTTGTCCATCTGGAGCTGTGTAAGAGTAAGAACCATGAGCTCTGGTGCCATCGCCACGGGCTTCTCCTTGCTCTTCAGCAGTTATACTGTTTCCCGTTTCATAGTTGTATCTATTTTGCGTCGAGAAACATCAGAATTTTTGCATTAAAAGCAAACTGGGGCAGGCCTCACCTGTAGGTTCCCTCTCCTTCGTTCTCAGCAGCAAATTTCAAGATGGGAATCTGCTTAGCGCCGCTAGAAGAAGGTCCGGCACCACGGAATGATGGGTTTGAGTTGGGGGGCAGGTATGAGTTGCTGGGACTTTGGCTTTGAGTGGGAGGAAGATAGGAGTTGTCCAAACGGGCGCAAGCAGCTACCCCGACGACTACAGCCAATAAAAGTACCTGAAACTGATTTATCGCATGAACTTGAACCCAGTAGACTTGCACTTAGAGTCCATGGGGTTTTCCTACCAGAGGGAAATAACGTGTTTGCTGCTACTTTAACGGGTTTCGAATTGAATTGGAATTTGTTTAATTTTCTGAAAACTGCGGATGTTTCCACCCATTTTTCCGGTTAAAAATGTACAATTTACAAGACGCTTGGGAGGTTGTCTCCAATTCAAAACCGTTGCACTCTTAACAACTTTACTCTGCTCAACCGGTTTATTTTAGGCATTTTACTTAATTTTTTTATACCTTTTCGCCCAAACCCTTTTACTTAATAATGAAGCAATAAAACAGTGACTGGTAATTTTTCACAAAGCAAGAATAGACGGTTTCTTACCTGCATTTTGAGTTGTGCTCTTCAATGTATCTCAACTAAAGCACTCAATGTTGTGATAAAATAATTTTTGTCAATTCCCCTTATATACGATTGCCAATTTTGCCTCACCTATCAGTGAATGAAGACCTGAAAAATGTCAGCTTCCCAAATCGATGGTCTGAATTCATGAAGGTCATGGTCCACGCTCTTGTTCTTCTTTCATTTGGTTAATTTCTTCCTAGGCAGGCGACTGCCGTAAGAAATGTATTATCAAGACGTTTTTTTTTGGACTATTGCCTTTAGACTTTGACTCGAAAATTCGCCGATGAGTGATGATTTTGGACAATTGAACACACACTGCATAGAATTTGCAATCAATAGCAGGAAGATCAAGTTCGTTAGCAACATCCTTGCTCATATAGGGATCCAACCCAAAGTGTGACATTTCTTGTGTGTCTTCTTCGGAACTAACAATGGGGACTCCACAGTATAAAAAGTGTGCACAAGCAACTTATATCATTAATTAGTGATTTGAGTTCAGTTTAGTGAGATCGAGCCGGAGAAAAACTGCCTGCCAACATGTTCAAGGTAAGAAATTACAAACTCAGCTAATTACAGTAAAATCCAGCACACATGGTACTTTGCAGGTCGCTGTCTTCATTTCCCTGCTGGCTGCAGCCAGCTGCAGCCCAGTGGATGCAACATATATTCCTTCAGGGCAAAGCGACGTTGGATCGGGAGCTCGCAGCACTTTTTCCCCATCTCTCAGTGGCCTAAATGCAGGAACTGATGCCACACCCAAACCTAAACCGATTGCAGTCCTAAAATCTTCCCTGGAAAACACCGGCGATGGCACCTACAGGTACCTGCTGCAAAAACCTGCAGCAATTATATTCAAATTTAACATGGATTTTCCATCATCAGCTACAACTATGAATCTGCCAACGGAATCGTGTCTGAAGAAGCAGGCGATGTGCGTGGCGACGGCACCAAAGCGCATGGCTCTTATTCCTTCACTTTGCCTGATGGTCAGCACGTTTCAGTCAGCTACACAGCTGATGAAAACGGGTTTGTTGCACAAGGTTCCCATATACCAGACATTCCAGAAGCTATCCAGAAAGCTTTGGAAGCCAACGCGGCTGCTGAAGCTAGAGGAGTTTTCGATGATGGCCAGTGGCATGGTGAAGGATTGGAAGAGAGCCAATATAAGGAGGAAATAGGATCTGCAGTTGGTGCTGGCAGTGTCATCAGCGCCAAGTCAGCAGGGCAAGGATACACTTATTAACAATGTTTGATCGCCTCTATGTCTGAATAAATCCCAGTTTTGGAAATGTTGAGTTTTTATCTGCAGTTTAGAGCACCCAGTCGGAAGTACACCACTGCCTTTCCGACTTGAGCTAAAAAATGTATCAGACATTCTGCTCTCGAAAGTTTCTTTTCCATATTTCCTCAGCCATTATAATTAAGCTATTTTGGTTTTGTTTTGTTCTGATTTATCAGGAATGTATATTGTAAAATTAGCAGAAATTTGAATAATGCACTGATAACGTGAAAGCGTGAATCAATTGGTAAGGGAAGTTTTGTTCGTTGTCTTCCTGAAAATATCGATCGACTTCAAGCGACTAGTGAAACCGTTTGAATGAAGACATTTTCCCATTGTGCAATACGCTTAGATTATTTCCATTTCCCTGATCGCACTTACATTCACAGCCACACGTAAGAGTCAAACATACCAATTTACCAGATTTTCCCATCTGTGTTTAGAAACTACTGGTTCTTGTGCAAAAAGTATATTTTTCTTTGTTGCAGTTTCAAAAATCGTAGTCAATTGTGCGGAAAACTGACCGTCAACTTTACCAGTTCTTGTTCCAAGTGGCTTAATGGTGGCAACCCCAAGAAATGTGCAATTACTTGGAATCATAACATTGCCAGTATAATTGATGATATGAGAAATTACATTTTTAAAATTAATTTAATTAAGGTCGAAACATGAAGGCAATTAAAAGAGTATTCATTTGCATGTTAAAAGTTCACAGATACCAAAGGTGGGTGTAATTGTGCTCAGCAATTTAAAAAAACTGCTCCTGAAGCAAGGTGATGGTCCATTAATCTCAAAGACATTTCCATGTTCAACTAATCGAAATAATTTAATTTAGCTCACATACAAATCAATTAAATTGAGGAAGCTTTCAAAATCCTCCATTAATAACAAGTGTAAAAGTGGACCAATTTAGCAGTAACCTTCAAGAAACCTAGCATTAAATATCAACTATTAAAAATTCTTCTCCCAGGCAAATCAGAATTTGGGATCATCCTTCGAAAATCGTCAAGGTAGCCTCTTCATTGTATGAAAAAATCGCCTGGGATCGGCTCGAATTTGACATGAAGAAATAGTATTTTGATGTATGATTGGATTAGTGGTCGATAGTTTAATGGTTATTGGAAATTTCATGGGAATTTTGGCAAATTGCTCCTCACTGCAAGGTCATATTTGATAACTCCGCATTCTGAAACAATAGCGCACAAACTAACCCTGTTTCGTCGCATAAATTAACGTATTTGAATCTTTACTAATTGTAAATATTATGGCGATTTGAAGATTCGATACGCTTACATCTACAGACTTCTCGCGTAACCTCTAGGTAAATAAACTAGTTAACTTATTACGTGCGTTCTCATTTTACTTTCTCATAGATCACGATCGGTACGAGGATTAAGCACGAAAGTTACTTTAACATGTTTTAGATGAAATTCCTGTTATAATAATCGGCGAAATTGAAAATGATCATGGAATATGACAACATTGAAAGCAAAAAGCAGTTTTAGTGCTAATATCGTTTGCGAAACCCCCCGTTAAACCTTTATGGTTTATATCTTCAAAATGCAGTAAAACAGACGTTGATGCCGCAATTTCAAGGTGCTCATAATTCACTTTGCACATCGAAAGTGTATTGAGATTATATGACTGTTATTAGGAATCAGACTCTCCCAATTTGGGGTCTTTTAATGAATTATAAATGTTATTACAAGCAATAATATATCAATCCAACAAGGCCGGATCCAGCTTTCAAGTCCGAGGGGTTCATGTAGTAGAAATTCAGTCTTTTGTTAAAATTTTGGCTTTGAAAGACTTAAAAAATCAGGAAGAAGATAGAAGAATAAAAAGTCAGAAATCATAAGTGTTCATATTTATTTATTTTACGTCCTAATGCCTTTTGCAAAACATTCTCATATATGATTTTTAACATACATACTACTGTAAAACACAAGGTCACCAAACAGTCATTAAACAGACAAAAAACTATAGAACAATTAGAAAATAGAAACCTGAAATAAATGAATGCCTAATTTTCAACTCACTAAGTGCTACTGTTAAGATTGTGTATAAATTCATGTGGGGTCTTTGCATTTGAAGTTTTACCACAATTTTTGATTGATGTACAGCAATTTAAATTAATTAATTCTTATCTAACATCTTATCTTTCATCACAAAGTGATGAAATGAAAACATGTTAAAACTACAAATTTTGATTATTCTATAATATTATTATATATTTTTTATTTTCTGTATGCAGGTAGTGACGTCTTATCAGCTTATCCGCTTTCATCGATTCACTTAAAATAGCTCAGTTACGAATAAGGAAATTTGAGTGTAAATCACTTGCATTAGGGCTTCATTTATTAAATAATGCTAAAAAAAGAAATGTATTACAATCCGAAAAACTCAAAATAAATGTTTTTATTATTTATTATTTTAGATATTGACTGTTTCATTGAAATATGACTACTTGACGGTGGGTCTACACCTTCACGTACCACATTCTCAAACGTTTTGCGTATTTTTTGCATGCACAGTTTGATAGAGATCAACAGATGTGATCTATCAAACTCCCCACATTCCAGTATTGCTTACTTTCCTGAAACAAGATTGCATTGATTTTTAGCTTTCTATCAGCCAAAAATTGAATTGAACTATTTTTTTGATATTTTGCGGTTGCATGCATTTTGTAATATGTTTCTAATGGCATAAATGTGGCATACGAAATCCTTTTGTCAGCACAAATCGGCCAGATTAGCCAAACTAGATGGAAGAACTGTGAGCTCTTAAGCAGAATAACGCAAAATACGTTGAGTGAAACCATTTCTATGTTATAAGATTACAAACGTGCAACGCTAAAAATCGCACATTTAAACACCAACATAATTTGCACGGTAAATACCAAATGCTTTCTTTCCTGCGGCATTTAGCAAACCTATTATAGAAAAACGATAATTGCACAATTCAATGTATTTCTTCTTCAAGAATACCCATTTTCGATAAACTCGATTGAAACCATAACGAGCGAAAACTATCCCAAAATCAATAACTTTTCCAAAACTTTGTGCTTATGCAACTTTCGTCAGTTGCCGACCGTTGAAAGTGTAGTCAACGTGCAAACTGACTGACCCTTCTTCACTAACTGAAGAGATTGAGTTGCACCTGAACAACTTTCTTCATTAGTCCTTGTACAGTCAGATTGAAAATAAATGTAATCCCATTATCTTAAATCGGATCGTCCATAAGCAGTACCATCTAAATGGGGCCGTGGGGTATCTGTATTACATACAATTGGGTATTCCATAGATCGATCATCTGGTCCTCTCTCTCAAGCCCACCAAACCGCATAGAAATGGAAGATGCATCATTAATGGTGTTATGTGTATCTTCTGTTGCAATGCCCGCTGTGAGATTAATATTGAGGGGGGCGGTTTCTGCTGTATAAAAATCAATTGCCAAAAATTCGTATCATCACAAAGTGCAGTGTTCTATCATTGACAACATGAGACAAGTAAGCATATAAAGTGAATGGTGGTGGATTTTAGCGTAAAATTCTAACTAAGTCTGAGTGTTAAAGGTAGCAATTTCAATTAGAGATCATTGACGTGGTAGATGAATATTTAATAATAAATTCGCTAAACAAGTTGCCAAAATTGGTTCTTTCCTGGCCCCAAGTCTATGAGGACGTTTTTCTTAACATTTTCATTCATTCAGGCCCCAAGGTTTTAAATGGTTTTTGATTATTCCCAAGTTTTCACTCAAAGCAAATTTTCGAATTGTGCATTTGCAGTTTCTTATTCAATTTCACTCTTGTCTGGTTTCTTCTATTTTTAACAGTTCTTGATTAAGTTTAACTCCCACTTTTCTTGACTTTTTCCTTTAAATGCGCTGCCACTTTCTGCACCTTTTGCTATTGATGTTAAGCTGATCCTATTTTATTCTTCTTGTCGCTAATTTCCTTTGGGCATTTTGAGTCTACACTGCTTTAAATTAAATTGAATTACCTTTTTCATTATTTGCTTACTTCGTTTTTATTTAAAAACTCATTATAAAACCTGAGACTATTTTATACACACATTGATATGAAAATTTATTAATATTTCTATATTGCTCTTTTTTTTAGAACCTTCTTTTTGGGTATTTCGCCTCAAAAATTTTTGTCTTTAAAAAAGACAGAATTTCCTCACGTCCTTTAATACAGATTGATAAATAGTGCTCCTGTTTCGCAATAAGAACGAATTATTTATCAAAAAGTAATCAAGAACTCTCACCTAGAGGGTATCCTGCAACACACTTAGGCTCAAGCTGTAAGAGAAAATTCCAATTAGTAGAGAAATTAATTTGAAAAATTACCTTGACGTTTCGATAGCTATTTTCTGCTATCGTTATCAAAAGAACCTAAATGAACCTAAAAAAGAGAGTATGTTAATAAATTGTGTAACAATAGTAGGATAAAACAGTATATGAAAATTCGCTCTGATAATTCGTCTGTGCAAATTTTAAAAAAATAAAGGTAATGTTAATTAATAATTTTTGGTGTAATTAATTTGGGTGTATGTTTCTCTGGTCTACTTCAGATTTTAGCATTGGGAACCATGTATGACTTAAATTAAATGAAAATGAAGCAACACAATTATTTTGATTTAGTAAAATTAGTGCACTTTCTTTAATTTT